GCTGAAGACTACTACTAACGCTACTACTACTACTGCAGCGCTCCTCCAGAGTGCTGCTGCCGAATCCTGAAGACTGCCTCCTGCCTCCTGCACGTGAAGTGCCTGTGAACTGCCTGGGAAGTCCCTATGCACTACCTGCCGCCTGCAGGGCGGGCCAGTTCTATATAGTGCTGGCCCCTCCGGGAGCCTGTTCTTGCCAATGCCGAAACGTGCCAGACCCTGACGTTGAAGTTCAAACAAAGGTTGTCTTGAAACAGGCCCAAAAATGGCCTGTGCTAAACAGGCCTGGTCTGGCGCCTGAGTTTCAGAGCAGGTCGACTTTATGAGGGCCTGAAAGTGGCCCTCGTTTTCAGGCTTTCAGGCTGAAACGACACAGGACCTGTAAAGCCCTTATTTTCCATCTGGTCGGGCCCTGCAGGCCCGTGTGGCTGCGCAGTATGCCACAGCTATCAGGTCTGCAATGAACATCAGCATGTACACTCTCGATGCCATATCCGGTGCAGAACGCAGAAACCTGTTGGTGGACTCAGGTCCTGTCTATGTTCAAGACTTCCACTACAGAAATGAGGTTCATTTCCGCTTATCCAGCACTCAATCACCTCCAGATTCTTACAGCACTTCACCACCGATTGCAAGAGAAACAAATAAACCAAACCAAACCAAACCGAACCCAACCAAACTCAACCAAACCAAACCAAACCCGACCCAACCCAACCCAACCCAACCCAACCCAACCCAACCCAACCCAACCCCAACCCAACCCAACCCAACCCAAACTCAACCAAACCAAACCCAACCCCAACCAAACCAAACCAAACCAAAACCAAATCAGAACACAACAGAAACTAAACCAAATTCGACCAAACAGAAAGAAGACAAAACGAAGAAACACAAAACAGCAACAACCAAACGCAAAGAAAAACAAAAAAGAACGCATACAACAAAAGAAACGCAATGAAACGAAACACAACATGGTAAGAAAGACCAGCAACAAACTGAACCAAAGCGACAGAAACTCAACCAAAAGAAAACTAACCTAAAATGCACAACCACAGCCCTAAACTCTGAAACAAAACCAAAACCAACCCTGAACTCAAAACCAATCTGCAACCCAAACCAGGAACAAAAGCGAAAACGAAACCAATAAAAAACCCAAAAACAGAATGGAAAGCAGAACCAAACACAAAACCAAAAACCAAAAATCAAAAGCCTAAACAAAAACCAACACCAAAACCAACCAACCAACCAACCAACCAAACAACCAAACAAACAAACAAACTGAGGTTTGCAAATGATTTTAAGTTACCCTGAACAGTTGACATACCTGAAGATCTCCATGCTTGGTTCTGTGTATGGATTATATGCGGGCTTGAAGCGCAGCTTCTTAATCCCTACAAGGAACAGCAGACCATGTCACATCACGTCCATTAGTTCACGTCAGATTACATTCTTTTCCCCGGAATGAACGGTACGCCGTACGGTCATCAGCGCTGTATCTAGACCGAAAGTTGGCCCAAATACAGCTGGGCTTGAACTGCAGCTTCTTAATCCCTGCAATGAACAGCAGACCATATCATATCAGCTCCATTAGCTCAGTTCAGGTTACTGTCTTCCGCGGGATAAAATGTATGCCATAGGGTCAGTATCGCTGTATCTAGACCGAGTGGTAGCCCAAATACAGCTGGGCTTGAAGCACAGCTTCTTAATCCCTGCAACGAACAGCAAACAACATCAAATCAGGTCAACTAGTTCAGGTCAGATTACCGTCTTCCCAGCATAAAACGTACACCGTAGGGTCATTATTGCTGTATCTAGACTGAAAGTTGGCCCCAATACAGCTATTCGGGCGAAGACAGTAGGTAAGACGAGGACTGTTGTGCCAAGCAGATAATCGTAAACTTGTCTTCGTTCTGCTGCAATCAACATTCACCTCTCTTGTCCCACGGGCAAGAGGGCATTCTTTTTTTTTTTTTTTTTTTTTTTTTTCCCTATAACTAATACCCTCCTGCTAACACTGAATCCAACACAACCATATCAAGAACACACAGAAGCTCAGACGCTGCGAATTCCCTTTTTCTTTTTTTTCTAACTCAACTGCGAAGTGGCTCAAAGGGCCGTTGAATTTTGGGCAGGCTCTGGATATACGATAAATGTGACGCCCATGTCGGCAGTCATGTGCCAGCCGTGTCCAACAACTTAGCAACAGCGCACTGTAACACACCTGTTAATCATACCATTAGTGAGAAATATGCAGTGCACCAGTGCTGAGCACTGTGTGGCTTGCCACACAGTGTCCTCGATCATGGTGTGCACACACAGGTGCTGTTGCTGCACGCTGTGAGGTGGGCAACTGCAGTGTGTGCACAGGAGGGGAGGAAGGGGAGGGGGGTCAGGAGAGGCGTTGGGAAAGTAGAGCGTTCTCGGATGATATATGTGTTTACTTCCTGTATCCGTGTATGTTGTTCATCTGTCACCAGGAGGGAGGGAGAGGGAGGGAGAGGGAGGGAGAGGGAGGGAGGGGGAGAAAGGGAGAGAGAGAGAGAGGGGGATCTCTCTCCCTCTCTCTCTCTCTCTCTCTCTCTCTCTCTCTCTCTCTCTCTCTCTCTCTCTCTCTCTCTCTCTCTCTCTCAGGTCTGTTTAAATGTGTGTGCTCTGTGGCCCTGCGTCGCACGGACGTCTTCCAACAAGTGTGCCAGTAACCGTCAGTTGTGTTCTTCCCCCCCCCCTAAAAACTCGCAATAGATCTCTTCTCGATGAATCTAAGCCGCTTTTAAGGTCAGATTCATTCAGAAAGCTCCCTTCTGAGGACACCAGCATGACCCCCGGATCACTATGGCCGACTTTCAAGACAAAAACGAGAACAGATTCATTCGAGAAAATGCTCAGGCCACTTGGAGTACCACCTTTTTTCTTTCTTTCTTTTTCACTGTTTCTTTAGTCTTGTGCCTGCTTTGGACTGTTTGCAACTCTGCATGTCTGCTTCTAGTTGAATGTGCATGCATGTTGATTTGCTACAAGACAGGTGCTCTGCTGCCTGAACTACAAAGTGCAAAGCCGGTAAGTGCCTGCCAACAGCCCCAGCCCCCCTCCTCCCCCCTCCCTCCTCTCCCCGTTTTTTTTTTTGTTTTTTTTTTTGGTCTGGACATTTTGCACCCCCTGACACCGTGGGTCCGCTGATGTCTGGGTGTCCGGTGATGTCCGGATCATCAGACAGTCCGGACCGGTTCAGACACTGGTCCGGAAGACAGTCCAGGAATGTCTGGTGTCCGGGTCGGCGGTTACCATGCTTTTTTTTTTAACAAATAATGGCCCAATCTGGGCCAGCCGTCGGTCTTGGAGATCTGACGCCCCAGATTGAGCCTTTTTTATTGAGGAATTTTGAGCCCCTACAAACCTCCAAAAGAAATAGACCCCCCCCCTCCTACACAACACCTCTACCCTACCCCCGTGCCCCCATTCCCCCCCCCTGGGTGGACGGTCAACCGGTTGTCCGATCGGACAGTACCGGACGGTCAGCGGGGTGCTGGACGTCTGATCCAGTAATGTAGCAAAAAAATAAATATTCCTCTCAGGACATCCTCACACGGGGCTTTTCGTTACACAATAAGGAGAAAACAATTTCATCCAGATACATTCACAATGGTGATAACCGGAGCATGCCCACACTTGTCTTTTCAAAGTTTTTACGTTTTGGCTAAGAGGGGTTCCTCTTGCTCTTTGGCTGGCAGATTCTTTCAAGCCAGACGCCAGAAGGAGACTTCAATTCCAGCCAGATACATTCAAACATAAGCACAGAAAGGTTGGTAATTTGCTATACAAGGATTGCTAATTTCCTATATAAGGGTTGCTACCTTGCCATGCCTAGCGCTTCGACCCACCCCTCGCCAAATGCCAATATTTTGAATGTATTGGTCCCGATCCATTCAAATGTTGGGGTTTGGCGAGTTGTATGGTGAGCCCCATACACCATCCACGTCGTGGGAAGGACTGAAGAAGAAGAAGAAGAAGAAGAAGAAGAAGAAGACAAACAAGTGGAATATGGTTTCAATTCTCTGTGTGATGGATCTTGTGAACTGCTCATCCCATCCATCGATCGAGGGGTGGTTTGTTAACCTGTTACAAATTGAGAGCATACACTTCATGGACATTTTGCAGATTCGCAGACGGCCAAAAAAAAAAAAAAGGACCGAGTTGTTCGGCGAGAACGCCACGATGATCATGTCCACGGGCATACCTAGGCGGCCAAAGAACTCGTTCAGCATTCCAATCAGGTCGCCAAGCGTGAGCCCTCGGTCGCAAACTAAACCTGAAAAGTCCATAACAGAAACAGGAGGCAGGAGGCAGGAAACAGGAGGTTGGCAGAAACCAATGCCCAGAAAAACAAAACGAAAAAAACATAGAGTTAGTTGACGATTCTATTGACAACCTGCCCCAAATGTGGTGAGCACCAAACTACAAATCCGAAGGGGGAAAACACTGTCCAGGTCCGCGGAAAAGACTTCAAAAAAGTTCAAAAAACGAAAGGAGAGAACTTTCAAGTACGCGTATATACTTGAAAGTTAAAACTGGGAAGCTGTATTCAAACACACAGATTGCCCAGGGAAGCAGCCCAGGCATGGTGGGGACCACACCCCTCTGGAGTGGCGAAACAAACAGCAGGTTTCACACCCTTTGCAAACCTGAGCGCGCCGTTTGGATGACAGTGGGGAAAAAAAAAAACATCTAAACAGGG